TGGCAATATGAATGCCCACTGCGTGCAATGGGGATATCCAAAATCAGATTCTAGAGGCGAACAAGTCGAAGATTTCATAGCTGCGAACTCTCTCGTCCTTGACAAAGTACACCATAAAAAGGCCTACCTTTGAAACATGCTAAGGTAAAGGATGGCCTGATCTGACCCTTTCAAGCATAAATGCCTCTTAAAAACTGGAAGATACTGGATGAGGAAAATAATTCGGATCATAAGTTCATTCACTTTGAGATTGATCTCACAATTTCTAGTACCGGCACGAAACATTTCCACATAACTAAGTCTGGCATCAAGAAATTTAAAAATCTCCTTGCTAAGGAAAAAAATTCTATTTTGAATGGCATAAACTGAAGTTATAGTTAAATATAACCAAGTCTGGCATTCTATTTTGAATGGCAGGGATCGCAACCAATTAAATGAATTCTCCAGTACCTTTTTCTCAACCATTCAAAGAATATCCCAACAGAGCTTTAAAATTAGAGCTCTAAGAAATAAATTCACTGCAAGTTGGTGGACAAAAGAATTGAGGGCAGAAAGGAATAAAACTAAAGCCTTAAGGAGGAAAATAAAATCTACACTGAACGACAATTTCAGGAATGCTGCTTGCATGAGATACAACGAGCAAAGTAAGATTTACAAAAAGAAAATTATAGAAGCTAAAATAACCTTGTGGAAAAAATTTTGTTCTCAAAATAAAGATACACATGGCATCTACCATAAATTGGCAACTAGGAAATCCTTTGTTCCCACAAAAATTACGTTTCCTAACAAAGATCAAACAAGCAACAGCAATAGTATTCCCGATTCCCAGATTCTATCGCAAGAAGCAGCAACCAAAATCCTTGATGCTATCTTCGTGGATGACAATTCAGAAGATGACATGCCTGAGCAGAGAGAGATTATATTTTCCAATTTCTCATAGAATGGCTCAGAAGACTTCCCCTTCACTCTACAAGAAATTAATAACATTATCAAGCACCTTAACAATAAGAAAGACCCGGATCCTCATTCTATAAGCAACAAAATTCTAAAAATTATCCACAATTATGACCCAAGAATCCTTCTTAATTTCTTCAATAAACGCTTAGAATTGTCGATCTTTCCCGATAACATGAAGAAAGGACAAATAGTACTTTTCAGAAAGAAGGATAGGAACCATGAAGATCCTTCTGCATTTAGGCCAATAAACCTGCTGCCCGCCATAGAAAAAGTTCTAGAAAGACTTATTGCTGGATGGTTGAGACATCACTTCATCAAAAATCATACAAACAGTAAAACCCAGTACGGATTCAAAGCCAACACAAACACTATTCATGCGATAGATATAATGCTGAAACAAATTAAACAGAATAAATCAAAAGGTGATATAGTGCACTTATTTGTGTTGATTTAAAAAGTACCTTTGACTCAGTATGGTGGCCTTCAGTATAAAAGCCAACTGTCCTTCTAATCTTCTCAATATTCTCATACATTACTTTCATAATAGAGAAAGCATATTCATTTATAACAACATGCTAACCAGCAAAAAATTTCCTACAGGATGTCCCCAAGGATCCTGCTTGAGTGCTGATTTCTGGGCCTTTCACCTTTAATGACGTCTTAAAAGTATGAATTTCCCTGATCATACGAAGATCTTCGCGTTTATGGATGACACTGCGTTGGTTGTTAGTGGCAGGACTAGAGACATCCATCGAAATGAATGTGAAAGATTCTCTCAAACAACTTAACATAGAATGCCAGAGGTTGAAACTCTGCATTTCGCAAGAGAAGTCCAAGGCTATACTTTTTAACAAACCAGGCCAAAAGCTCTTAAGAAAGCCCACCTTCATCCTGGAAAGAAAATTAAGATTACCTAAGTCCTGAAGTTTCTGGGTATCCACATAGATAACCAACTTAATTTTATGTACCATCTCACAGAGACTCAGAAAAAGACAAATTCAAATCGGTAATAATTTCAAAAAGAATGCAAGGCAGTAACTGGGGACTTCGTCCTCACATTCAAAAATTTTATTTACAACAGTAATTTGGAGTATAGTTAATTATGGGGTTGCAATCTGGGCGGAGACTATGACAGAAAGGAAGAAAAGGAAACTTTTCGCCATTACAGAGACCTTTTCTCCTGAGCATCTGCAAAGCCTTATAGAACGACAGCTAATTACTCTCTACATGCATTCTCAATGGGATACTTCCCCTTTATTGCGACAAAGGATTCAATAAAAGCCAAAGTACTCCAGTTGAAAGAAGATGCTTACCTGAACGGTACCAACTTTTATGCCTCAAAATACGAGTCTCCAGCCATACCATTGATTTACCATCCTGCAAAGTATTGTAATTTAATAATCAATAGTCAAGAATGTACAAGAGCATTTACAGACAGCTCTAAAATTCATGGAGGAGTGGGCGCAGCGTCAAAAATCTATTCATCTTCCTCTGTTCCAACAATATAACAAGGAAAATTATCTCCAGAAAATTCTACTCATCAAGCTGAGCTGTCAGCAATTCAATCTGCAGTAAATAAAGCCATATCAAATAATTTCAGGACAATGGCAATCTATTCAGATAGTCAATCTGCATTATATGTTCTGAAGGACAGAAACAATAAGAACCAACTGGTTCAGGACACTCAAAATACAATAAGCGCCCACCCAGAAATCTAGTTTTTCCTGAATTGGGTGAAAGCCCACAACTGGAATGACAACAAGGAGGTGGCTGACCTCTTTGCAAAGGATGCAATGACTAACATCAACTGTGAGGTGATTTATGTCCCATATAAAATTTACGCTGAATGAAATTGTCAACTCAAAGTGGCAAGAAGAATGGGATTCTGTATTGCAAGACAGAAGAGTCCATGACTTTTCCCCCAAGAACTGACAAAGAGGCACTGCACTATGACCATGTTCTGAATCAGTATATCACAGGGCACGGTCCTTTTCCCACCTACTTCCATGACAGAGGCATGTGCCCCACGGATCTCTGCATATGTGGCGAAAGGGGTGACCCTGATCATTACATTTTTGACTGTAATCTAACAGACGGTAAACATCTGATTAAGCCTAACAACAATCTAATACCATTTAAGAAATACGCAATAAAGAACAGACACCTTAGGGCCAAAATCAGAGACATTCTTATACATATCCAAAGACTTCGGACTGGATATTTGTCATATCTAATGCTTATGCATCTCCATATATTACTAAAATATATTTATTTAAATTTTTTAATTTAATGTTACAACAATTTCATTTTTCTATGCAATGCTGATGGACGGGAGCTCCAAAGATTTGCTTATTACACCTTCTGCCCTAGAAAGAACATTTGTTCATACATTTAGACTTTTAGAAGCATCAGTTGTTGAACTTTTAAAGGACAGTCTTTTCTCAGTATGATTTGTGTACACTAAGAATACTAGAAAGTCCTCTCAAGGGGTTAGTGGGGAAAAAAAAAAAAGAAAAGAAAAGAGAGAGAGAGAGAGAGAGAAGAAAGAAAGAGGAGGGAGGGGTGAGAGATTCGGTTTATAGCTCTTTGTTTAAAATTCAGAATCAAAAAACAAGTCAGATTACAATTAAAGACTTTTTCTTTAAAAAAGTTAAAATTTACTTAAATGGTCTTGGGGGGGGGGAAATATTACTTGTTCAAGATAATAATTCAAATAAAGGTATGACTTTATGATAAATATGTTTCACATTGGATATTAAAATTTCATTCATATATCTATCTAATTTAAACATCCTTTGCAAATAGGTCTTTGAAAGACATATAAATGATGCTCCATTGTATTTATATAAACAAAGATAAATTAATTAAAAACTGCCCATTTTGTTTGAGACCTTTTGCCATTTTTCAGTAAGCTTCATAATTTCTCATTCATAAAAGGACATGTCTTTGTTGGAAATGAACAAGCCTTATCTGAATTGAATATTTTCCCATGCAAGGAGTTTAAAAAAGAGCTAAGATTCGGTTTGATTGATTACGGCAAAACGCATAAGGGCTATCTACTAGGGGCAGGATTTTCTAAGGCAAACTGGCTCATATCCATATTACACATGGAGAAAACCACAAAAACCAACCATGCAGCAACCCCATTTGCTTGGAATTGAACTCAGAATGAACTATCAGTGTTCAGCAGTTTTACCACTTGGTTACTGGTGGGCTTAAAGAGAGCTAAACAAATGGAACTCTCAGGTGTAAAGTCAAGCAAGTGTGGCAGTACATATCATCCAAGCTCAAAGAATTTTTGATGGGTGATCAAATTTTTGTGTATTATCACATTGTCATGATGGAACACAACTCCTTTATGATTACAGAGTTTTGCAACTTTATGGATGGTGGATTCATTCAAACTGTCCAGTTGCTGCCAAAAGTACACACTGAAATGGACTGTTTGATTTCTTGGCAAGAACAACAAAAATACAATGCCTTTACATATCCCCATATGGTAATGAATGTTTGAATGATGGATGCTCAGTTTTCCTGCAATCTAACATGAATTTATATGCTTATACGCATGCATATGAATTTGGCTCAATTAATAACTTTATATTGTCCTCATCTTTGGTTAACGTTCCTGATTGAAGAATGTCATTTGAGATAAAAATTATTACAGCAGAAATCCGTGAAACATCATTGGAACTTACATTATTAGATTTTACAGTAAGATTACAAGCTTTTTGTAAACACTCCAAAACTCAAATAAATTGCACAGTTTTCTAAGAATGAAGCTAGAATTGTCAGCTGTCAAATGATATAGCAACAGCTTAGATACGGTTGTCCTGATACTTCAAAAACGAATAACTGCCATCTGCTGCGAAAACGTGTCATAAGCTAAAATTTGATAAATATGGGATTTAGAACTGCAGAAAGAAAGAATGAAACAAACACACACACACAACAAAAAAAAAAAAAAAAAAAAAAAAAAAAAAAAAAAAGGGGGGAAAAATTGAGAGAAAGCATAATTACATATTTCAACAAAATGTTTTAACCTTTCTTTCCCTTTCAATTTCTTCTTCAATTTTCCGTTTCTTTCTCAGTTGTCGTTCTTGATCCTTTTGATCAAAGCTAAAAGGTTCCACTTCTGTACGTTTCTTTTCATATTTTACTGTAAATGGCACAGGAGCAGCAGTTCCAGGATGAGCTTTTCTAAAACTTTGTTTAAAAACTTTGATTGGAGATTCACAGTGCTAAAACAGCAATTGAATAAAATTTAATAACTAATTGCAAATATAAATAAATAAATTTAATACAGACTAACATCATGCTTATGAAATTATAATATTGTGTGTCTGTAGTGAGCTAAAATGATACAGTGAAGAAGCAGCTATCAGCAATTTATATGGGAAGAAATTTTAGACGTTTCTATGCCTTAAAAAGGAAGACATATGTAGTGCAGTTTTATCTTCTATAATCAGGAAGAGAATGTGTATGTTGGAAGATTTGAATGCAAGCAAAAATTCTAACATGTTCTTCAATTAAGTGAATAGAGGTTTGGTAGTGCAGTTTTTCTAACAGGAGACTAGACGAGAAGAGATAAAGATCATACAAACCCCAAATATGCCAGTGTCATTTGTATCTGATAAATCCTACTGCTATGGTTTTCTCTTTCTCAAAATGCTAAATTGGTCTTTTGCAGAGATTAAAACAACAGGCTAGAGATACAACAAACAATATCCTTAGGCTGACATATGTTTACTTCATATATGAAGTAAAAGAAGTATTGCAATTGCGAAAAATTTAGGGAATCATATTTCGACAAAAATATGCAATTTGATGGTTCCTAAATTCATTTGGATGATTTTATTTTTTGTGACATCTGTATGTATAAACAGAAATTTGTTTCGGCAATGTCAAATTAAAAAAAAAAATTTAAATAAAAAATAAAATCTAACTTTTAATGCCATTTCCTGGTTTTGACATTGGGAAAGCTTTATACTTGTTATAAAAATATAAAATTGTAAGAAGTAAGACAAAAACTGAGAGGGATATTTAATTTGAAAATTTGCAGTTTTTGATGTCACTTTTAACTTGTTTTGAGGGATGAGTTATTTAAGTTAGAATGATTCGAGGAGGTAGCTTAAATGAAGTGCAGCAAAAATGTGTATAATTTAATAGGGCATATAAGGAAGTCATGTGGTATCTACTTCAGCTTTTTTTTCTTTTTTTCATGCATTTGACTCACAGGCAATCAAAATATCATATAAAGATTCTTCAAAACTTTGCTCTCTTTCATCATCAAAAATATGCTTTGGGAAAAAATTTTCATAAAATAGTTTAATGAAAAGGGTACTAATATAGGTCTTTCAGACAAGCACAGAACGTCTGCAAACTAAGAGATACCTATATGCTTCTGAGCAAAATGACTTAATTGAATGCATAAATAAAATATTCATTCCAGATGGATTTAAAAGTTAACTTACAGTAACAATAAACATACAGTCATTTATCTAAAATAAAATTAAATACAAATTCAACAAAAACAAAAAAATGCTGTAATAATAATTGCTCCCCATTTGGATAAATTTCTAGATGTAAGGTGTCATTTTTTACAGAATAAGTAATTTAAAATGAAATTTATAGGTAGTTATTATAAGTCAGAATTAAAGATTTAGCACATTTAAAATCTATGTGTATATATATAGTTTTACATTTGTTTGTTAAAAAGGATGCTTTCTCCCTTTACTTTTTCATATTGTAAATATTCGATTTTAATTTGTAGTTTTTAGAAGATTAATTTTATGCTTAATTTTTGCATATTTTGGTACACATATTTAAACCGGCATTTGGTTTTAACTAATATTTACCCGAAATACTTTTTTGTGTGTGTTGGGGAATTTCTTTTGCATGAATAAAACTGAATTAGTTTAATTAAACTGAATATTTCTTTGGATTACATTGCATTCAAATATGCAAGACGAAAGAAACATGATCAGATCTCATGACTGTTGGTGGTTTTATACAGAAGGCTAACTCCTCCTGAAAAGTCATTCTTTTTCCATGAAATCAGTAATAATTATTTACCAGTTATTGGGTGTTAATTGAAATTTTCCGCCACTGCCAAGATCATCTGTGCAAACAGTCTGTGTTGTTGAGCTTAATCATATTTTGTCAAATGATTTTTGGCATTTGAAAGAAAGAGACCTGCTTTAGAACACTGTGTCGTGGAATTTGTAAAAAGTTATTGTTACCGTTAATTACAAGGTGTCCGAAATCGCACTACCAGATTGGAACCATCATTTGCTTCCAGTTCTGCTGTAAAAAGTCAGTCAGCTACAGAATGTCACCAAATCATGTATACAGCTTTAAGTACTAATGCTGTGTCATACGGCACTGAGAAGGTTTGTTACAGAAGTTTCAAAAACAAGGACTATGACATTCAAGGAGAGGGATCTGGCTAGCCTACTGATGTAGATGAAGCCTGCCTACAAGAACTTGTAGAAGAAGATCAGTATGTAATCACTTGAGAGCTCTCTAAGCAGTTAGACATTAGTGCCATGTCCATTGTATAAACTCGACGTACACGTTCAGTTGCTGGGTATTGCATGAGCTGACTCAAGTAGATAAGGGCAGACATGTTCAGGCCTGCAATAATCTGCTCGAATATCAATGCAAAGACAAAATTCTGCACAAGACCATCCCTTGCAATGAAAAGAGGATTTACTTTGACAGCATAGGCCGAAAAGGAGGTTGGTGTGCACCTGGTAAGACTGCCATTATATTACTCACAAATACCTGGAAAAAGGTTAAACCCTTGACAGTTAGGTATGCAGTGAGATGTTAGTCCGAGCTGATGTTGCTATCAAGGAAAACTCAAACTGAATTCCGGCCCAAAAAGGTAATGTTCCATCAAGATAATGCAAGAACACACGTGTCTGCATTCTTCAGCTGGACTCTGTATGGACTCTAATGGGATCTTTTGCCACACCCACCATATAGAACTGACAATGTTGCTTTGAACTTCTACCTTTTTTTCACATCTACAGCTATATCTCGCTGGTGCTATCTTCCATTCTGCCCAGGACATTCGAAATGAGGTTGATCTGTTTTTGGACAAGCGACCACTAAGTTTCTGGGCCGAAGGCTTTAAAAAATTGCCAAAAAACATTAGCGGAAAATCATAGATTTGGATGGTGATTACTACTCGCACTAAAGGTACTGTAATCATGGTTTTTTCCCCCAATTTTATTAAGAACTTTTTTTGATGGAAAACTTTCATTACAACCAGATATTTTTTTAAGTGTTTCTTGCAGGCTTAATCGATTGCATTTATAAGTTATTTTTATTAACTGCAATTTTTATAATTATAATAGTTTGAATTCTACATTTTCATTGGGGTAATGTCTAATAATAATTTGTATATATTTAAGTGTGTGTGTGATGGAAAAGATGTAGTAATAATAAAGAAGCACTGACTGTATATCCATACTGAAAAGCAAGAATTTTGTTGGTGTAGATGGACAAATGTGGCATATCATTGATTGTAATAAAAAACTAGTCTTAGTGTACTAAAAAAGTACTGATGTAGGTACACTGAGATGTAGAAATATTGATGGTGTAGAATGTAAATCTATATTGAACAGGAAACTTGGAGCTGAGTAATATTAAATATTCAACTTTATTTCAATTGACATTTGTAATCATGTTTTTCGCACTTATACCATAAAATTCAGTTCAACAGCAATGCCGAAAAACGAATTTTAAAATGAACATATCTTTAGAATTTCCGATACACAGTTCCATGTGCTGGAGATAAAAATGTCCCCCCCCCGGTAGAGTGATGCTATTGCTCGCTTTTAAATTGTTGAGAATTTGTTACTCAAAAATTCGTTAAAATTTTACAAATATGTAAATCAAATTTGGTCTTCCACATGCCCATATTCATAGGAGGATTATGCCATTCAAAATTCGATGGCTCTATGTACCATTGTTTTATCACAAAGCAAGAAATAGACATACATTTATGCAGATTTTTCATTATTTAATTTCTTCAAATATAATGCAGGACTCTAACATTTGGTGGCAACAGTTTGAAGAGTTATTTGCCGTTTATGGTTATTCAACACAAAATCGCAAAACGAAAACAATAGTCCTTCAGGGACAATGCCCCTTTGGACTAAAAAGAAAGTGGAAAAGAAATTTCCATAAATGTAAATTCAAATAAAGCTGAAACTTTAACAAATGTAATCATGCAAATTTGATGTGTTTTAATAATGATTTTGGCAATAATTTATGCTTAATGGGAAGCTGTTTAGCAAAAGGTTAATTTAAAAGACAGGCCAAAGTTATATAAATGTTTAATGTGGCACACCTAAAAATAAAAGTTAGAAACTATCTGAAATAATTATAGACATACACTACACACTTTTCAGACAGAAGACAAAAGCTTACCAGCTTGGCATGAGACTTCCATTTTTCTGCTCTTTCTTTTAATGCAAAAGCAGGAGACTTTGGGTGTGTTTTGGGGATTGCTTCTTTAGTTTTCAAGCCCTATGTGGTATCATACAGAGGGGAAGATAAGAACAATAAATAAAGTAGTAATTGTTTATAATTTTAATGAAAACAGAGAAAGCTAATCCGATCTCGATGCGAGATGCGAATTCGCTACAATCAACAACAACTAAGTAAAAAACTGAACTGTGATGTTTTCCTTCGGCATTTTAATCATGCACAAGAACGTTCCGATAATTTTATTTTTCCTGAGGCTTCTGGAAAACAAAAGACTACAATTACGATATATCTATTTATTAAATGTTAAATGCGTATGCTCCTGTATTTTAACTTTTCCGGCACAGCTTTCTCTTCAAATAAACCTCGTGCTGCATGGCATGGAATATAAAACAATTTAATAACAATTATGCTAAAAATAGCCACCTAAATACAAAAACGGTAAAACTACATTAATCAGGCTCAAAATTACTGTATTTGATGGCATATATGACGAACTTTTTTTCCTAAATTTGGTCTCAAAAAAGTTACCTGCGTCTTATACGTGGAGGTATCCAGAAAGGATTAAGCATGATTTAATTCGCAATAATAAATGAAGCCGTTATCTTTGTTGTTGCAAAGCTAAATTTTTCTAGCTTGGCAACAAATCCACTAGTCTGCTGTTTCAAATGTAAACGAGCAATGGCTGCCATCAAAAACATTATTAGGCTTAGCGGCACTTAAACCACTTTAAAATTGTTGATAATTCTAAAACTATTGCATACACATTTACTAAAGGCATAAAAACCTTAACCGGAAGATAAGAACAACATAATTCAATCATTTTTAAAGCAAAAATGTACACTGCTCAAAAAAAAAAAAAAAAAAAAAAAAAAAAAAAAAAAACAAAAAAAAAAAAAAAAAAAAAGGGACAGTGCTATATCTCCATTCTACTGGGGCGATTCACGAAATTCAAATTGCGTTCTTCATGTCTCGAAAGCGCGACTTAGGATATATTAGATTTATATACAGCATATTCTAACATAAGTATTTTGACACAAAATCGGACTTTTTCTGAAAAACATACCATGTTTTTTAAATATTCGATTCTACGACTCAATTATGCCAAGAATACCAAGTTTTGTAAAAATCGTACGAGTAGTTTTTGAAATATTAGCTCTCAAAATTTAGCTCCTCAATGTTAATTGAATTGGCAAATATTTATTTATATCTTTTTTTTATTAAAACTTTTTTGATTTTTTCTCTCACATTTCGAAATTTAGGTCATTCCAAATAAAATTTACCCATTTTTGTGTTTTATTTTTGAATTTCTATTTTAAATAATTTTATAAATTTTTCGAAAAAAACATTTTGAATTATAACCTATAAAAGTTTTACCATCATCTTAAAGTAGGTATATTTTTAAGCATATCTACAAAAATTAGACTTTTTTATTCAAAATTTTCTAAGATATACACAAATTTACATATTTTCGCATTTTGAAATTTGGCATCTTTTTTTTGAGCGATAATAACACCAAATGTGGTCTATGGATTTTTTTACACTGTATTGCCACAGCTATTTTTAACCTTAAATTCAAGTAAAATTTTACAGAGAATTAATTTATGACATTTTTCCCTCAATGATGCATAATAAATATTATTAATACTATATGAAAAGCTATTTTTTTAAATAAATTTTTTAATATTTCTTTAAATTTTCTCTCTATTTTTTTTTTTTTAAATAAGAGTAAATTTTACCTTCGGCGTTTTATCGTCTGCTACTTACTTCGTTTAAATCGAATTGTCTAAAACAGAATTTTCGTTTGATGTTATTTGAATTTTATGACATTAACTGGCACAATTTATTCTTAACTAACTGATGCTTTTGAAGTGGCTGAAAGAGCGGCTGATACTATCATAATCCATATTTTAAAGCACAGAATATTTTTATAGAAACATAAGATTTAGAATAATCATTTTATAAAAGTCAAATTATGATATAAACATACAGCCCTCTAGAGACTGAAGTAATGGAAGTTCAATGGTAGTAGAAATGATCTGCAGCTACTTAATCGCTGGATAAGTCATCAGATTCGTGGACAAGTAAGATAATTATATAAACGACACCCAACATTCTGAATTCAATTAATAACGAGGATAACGATGTTTATTAAATGAATTCAAGAAGGTTTTAAAACATAAAAAATCAACTCATTTTTTATCTAAAATGTTTTTGCGAGTAGCGTATTTTCATTATTCTAATTTAAAATTCTAATAATTCTTAAAATTCTAATTTATGTAATTGTGAGAGAGAACTGATTCCTAATCATCAGTAATATAATAAGTAATTATTACGGTTATAATAAATCCTTCTTATAAAGTAATTGCAAATATTTCAAAAAAAATTTGTCTGAATGCAAACATTTTTTCTGTGCAAATTTTTTAATTTTATATTAATCAAGATTGCACACGATATTATTTATTTGCACTTCAATTCTTGACGTCAGTTCTAGTAGAAGTTAACAAGTCAAATATTTAATTAAGGATTTGGATTGGATTGGATTATTTAATTATGGCAAAGCACACGAGGGCTATCTGCCTAAAGGGCGGGAGGGATGCCTTCGTGGAGGATTTTTTAAGGGAAACTGGCTTGTATACACGTTACACCATCGGGAAAACCACGAAAACAACCATGCAACCAGCCTGTTCGAGGGATGCGAACTCGAACCTCGTGATAACGTCTTGTACCAGTGATCTTTACCGCTCGGCCGTTTGTGGGCCTTTATGAAATGGAAGGCGATGATTTATTTAAATGATTGTCAGAAATATCAAGATGTTGGATGCTTTTTAATATACTTGCAGAATGCCTAAAGAAAAAGAAAAAGAGCAAGAATAAAGTAGAATGCCTGAAGAAAAAATAAATTTTTGCGTAAAATTTAGTGTTTGTATTTTTTTAAAATTTAAAACTTTTTAATCTTATGATATTTGATTCTTGCGATTTCAAAAATAAAATATTTTGACTAAAATATTGAATAACGTTTTAAGAAACCAAATGTAGGATAAAATGTGTGTAAAGCAATGGGCACAATGATAAAACTGTTTAAAGTAAAGTAGTGTATGCAAAAGTCATCCTAAGTTAAAATGTCGGTTATACATCTCACTTATTTATATATATCTTTTCTGAACGGAAACATTGAAAGGAGCGTTGTAAACTGTGCTTTACTGTATTTCTCTTTTAATACAGTATGCAGTTTTCAAACTCATCGTAGTCTGGGTTACAAGTATTCTCCGAAAGAAAAGAAAACACAGTTCAAATAAATAAAATCAAATTCTGGAAAATTTGATATTAATAAATATATTTAAATGCTTAGTTCGAAGGAATAAATAGAAAATTTTAAAACAATTATCTGAAGAGACAATGCAATACAAACAATTGAAATAAAAGAATAAACATTTTAAAAATTACCTAAAATAATAACTGACGACAAAATATATATATAAAGAAAAGTATTTGAAAACAAAAAATGAACGCTGCACCTTTATTTACGCAGTTCGAATAGGTAAATAGAAATTTTTTTAAAAACAGTTATTCGAAAAAAAAAAAAAAAAAAAAAAAGCGGTGCAACTTAAACAATTTAAATGAAATTCAAAAAAAGAAAAAATTACTTAAAATAAAAGTTATAATTAAAAATATAATATAAAGAATATTATTTGGAAAAAGGAACGATGGTGACTTTTTTTCCTCTCATGGGAAAGGAAACTAGGTTGCCATATATATTAAGAAGTTCGCCAAGTAAAGTATTCTTGGCGCAAACTGACAAAAAAGTGCCAACATAAATTTGTGAATTTCTCCGTAAATTTTGCTCCAAATTTTACAAAATTTCATATTTAGGCGTAATTTGAGTCGTAGAATCGAAATACGTAAAAAAATTGGTATGTTACAGAAAAAGTCCGATTTTGTGTCAAAATACCTATGTTAGAATAGTGTTATATATAAATCTAATATATATCCTAAGTCGCGCTTTCGAGACATGAAGAACGCAATTTGAATTTTGTTAATCGGCCCAGTAGATCGGGAGATATAGGACTGTCCCACTTTTTTTTTTTTTGGAGCAGTGTACAATTTACAAACATATAAGAGTAAAGAAAGAGATCATCGAGCCGGGTAACAGAGCGGATATATATATATATATAAATACATTTATTTATATATATTTGCCGTGGTCAATTGCAACCAAAATACGAGGTGCACATCTACATATTATAGTAGTCTTATATACAAATTAAAAAATTAATGAAACTTTTAGCACGTAATAGAATTTTAAACCGAGATAGTAAACTAAAAAAGGCCACTAATATATCATTTTCATAAAGTTTTTACTGGTAATTTTTCATGAAAAGTATAATGTATAAGTTGCATTTAATTTTCTATGCTTAAGTTTCCTTCTTACTTTTTCAGCAAAAATTTATTAGTTAAAAAAATGTGAAAGTAAAAATTATCCTTCTTTACATCTTGCGCTCACAAATCATTATGGGAATATCCATTTACAATTATTAAAACCTGAAAAAAAAAAAAAAGCATGTTTGCGATGTTATTGTCATGCGATGATTTGTAGATACTTTATTTTTGTACCACGATATCTTCGTCGACGATGTTTTTAAACCGCTTTATCTTTGATGTCGATGTTTTTGCCTTGCATTGTTTTCTCCAGCGATGTTATCAGCGGGCACCATGGAGCAGTGAATCCATTTAGTTTTAGGTTCGACTTTATTTGAGAAATCATTTACACAGCTCTATAATGAAGAGATTCACAAAATAAACACTCCTCAGCAATTCATTTATTTTTTTCGAAACATATATTAACTAATAAGTGAACAAAGTTCGTTATATCAGAACTTTCATCCAATTGAAATGCGAAATACTCATTGAGTTTTATTTTTTTCAATAAGTGTTTCTATGGAATTTGCCGACTTATTGTATCATTTGAAAGGGGAATATTATCAAGTTCATTAGCCGCTTTTTCATTGAATAATGTTAAAACGATACCTTTAGCTGCTGGTAATATAAGGTTTTCTCCAGTAGTGTGAGCTTGCCCAGTCTTAGCAATTCTTAGGCTTATTAGGTAACTAGCTTTCAAAGCTTTTTCACTTGAAGACACAAAACCTTTCATTACTTGTCTACTGTTTTTTAACTCCGATAATTTCCTCTTAAAATATTCCTCACATTTATCCTTTAAATTGGCATGCTTAGATTGAAGATGTCTTTTAAGAAACAATGGTTTCATACTTTAATTGGATAATAGTTCACCGCAAACAACACACCGGGGTTGAGGGTCCATTTCATCTCTATTCCAAGTAAACCCAAATGATAATTAACTTTCATCACACAAGGTAACCAAAAAAGTTTTTGCTGTTCCTGATATGACATTGGAAGAGTGAACTCCACCATAAATATAGTTGTCAAGCGTGGTGATGAAGTGTTTAGGATGGGAGTCCGGACATTAATCACGAGTATAAAAGCATGCTGCATTGGTACTTCAAACATAACCCACACAGCAACACATTGAAATGGATGCGTCAAAGGCGCTCGTTTGGAGTTCTTTGTGGTATGATTTTAAAGTGGGCCTTTCAGCAGCAGAATCAATTCACCGAATTTGCCAGACCTTTAGGGATGATGTTAACGAACAAACTGCTAGGCAATGGTTCCAAAAGTTCAGTTTGGGGAATATGTCTCTTAGTGGTGCACATGCAGCAGGCGGCTAAAGTGCTGGACATTGAGGCCCTGAGAGCAGCCACAGAAAGTGAAAGCAGCCAAACATGTTGTGAGTTTGCTGCACACTTCCAGGTATCTGACGAAACAATCAGACTCCATTTGCACTACATAGGAAAGGCATACAAACCGAGCAAGTGGGTACCCCATTCACGGTCCAATGTATACAAGCAACAGCATGTTGCTACCTGTTTGTGCAATGAAATGTGGGTCCAGTATGACACACCCAGGGGTTCCAGACATTAACTATGGGACCCTGTGCCTCACACGTGAAACCTTCTCTCCCCCACGCAAGATCATGCTCTGTGTCTGGTGGACTAGTCGCCAAGGCATCAGGCATTGATGCATAAAGAGCCAGCATTGGTCAATCGTAAGGGTGTACTCTTCCTCTATGACAATGTGAGGCTGCATGTGGCTCAGGAGGCCAGGGACATCATCCAGCGATTGGGCTGGGAGACACTACCCTGTCCACCATATTCCCCAGACCTGGTGCCAACAGACAACCACCTTTTCCATTCCCTGGACAACCATCTTCATGGGAAATCCTTCAACAACCGGCCAGACCTCGAAAAGACCTTCATGGACTTCAGATCGCATAAATTTACGAGTGTTGGAGAAAAAACTCAATTAGGATGTTGAGGATTTTAATTTTTGAATTTAATAGTAAAAATTCTTTGCTTCTTTGTGTACCACCTATTTTTCTCTTGCCTACCCACCGGTTGAGAACCCTGACCTAGAGTATTTTATCTCATTTTTAACTGCTAATGCCAATTATTTTTTTTTTAATAAAAATTACAGTTTTTTAAAATTAAAAAAAATATTTTCACAATCAGCATCACTTTTGCTTCACACACAGAAAAACATCTCAACATTTTGGACAGTTTTGTAGGTCTTTGCAAAACTTGATGCTGTTTCCCTCCACTTCTTCCTCGCTACTGCATAGGCCGAAACTGAAAACTAATTTATAAATCTCTGAAAACTGAGAAGGATAAATTGATATAAACCAATAGAAATAATATTTGAAGATAATACTAATAATGTAATTGAAGTTGAGAGGCATATGAAGGATTGTACTGTCAGATTGAAGATAAATAATGTAATTAATAAACATGTAATAGCTTAAGCTTCAGATTCTTTTCAAAATTATACATAATGGAGCCATTGCATTAGCAATGCGATTTATAAATTATCAATGCAGTAAAACAGTACTTTGGATAATGATGGATTTTAAAATATAATAAACCAAGGTTCTAAAATATTGTAAGGCTTAAGCAGTTTTATATATTCCTTTAAAAATTTCAACATTTGTTGAATTCAATTTGAACATTTTATTTTTTAACAACTTGTCAAAAACCTAATTTAAAAAGAAAGTAGTTTAATGAGGGAAGCTTTTAACTATTTAGACCTAGTTTATGCACAATTTATCAGCATTTGATTATGAACAGATTTTTGAGAAGGATGGGCTGGCATCTTTGTAATTAACATCAGTGGCACTTATGCAAACAAGACAAGTATAGCTGTCACTTAAAAACTGATACAAGAATGGGACCAGTAACTTGAGAAAATAGTAATTACTCTTTTTCAAAAAAAAAAAAAATTCCAAATTTATACTGATGTTGCGTAAGGTTCCATTCAGACAGTGGTATAATTATCCCAATTGGTTTAAGCCGAGCTCTGTTGCTAGGTAACCAGACCCTGCTACGTCACAAAACCTAGATTAGGGGTTTTGGCACGAAGTTCGAAGTTTTCAACCCTATGCTGATTTGGTATAAGAGTCGACCAATCAGAGCAAATGTGCAAAATCTATTGAATGGGAAAACAGAGTGAGAAAGCTTCTCTAATTGGCTACGCCTTAGACCCATGTTTCGCAGCTGTGAACAGAACTTCTGCATTTTATGCCTTTATGGTATTTATACCACCATCTGAACAGAGCCTAAGAAGCCATAGATCAATGCACAGCAGAATACACTTCATGCCATTTGGGAACAACTGTTGAACTCTGATTTTTATATGCATAATTTAACTTTATTGCTGAAAAACACTTTGTGTAGGCAAAAAATTAAAAACCAGAACACTCTGTGATATACCAGGAAATGTTTTAAAAAACTGGGAGAACTGGCAGCTATAATATAGTGATAATACAGTAATGATAATATGAATGAGTTATCTTTGAATCAAAGCATTGTTCTTAGTTTTTGAGATGGCACAGAATATAAATTTGATAAAATAAAAAGACATAAATAAACTTACACTGGGTCCCTGATATACACTTTTAGGAACAGGACGAGAACGGAATTTATACTTCTGTTCTTCATCTTCTTTCTTTCTACCATACATTATTTTTGCTCGACTCTCTGTCTTTAACTGGATATCCTTAGGTTTTGTTTTTGGTTTAGGAGAGATTTTGAATACAGGCTTGTTGAATATTTTTGGTTCAAGAGGCCTAGCATGAAACTGATACCTGCAAACAGAAATCAATTTTATCTTTGGTCTGAATTATAACAACACCATTTACAAGATTTTACTCAAGACATTTATTCATTCCGTTGTTATAAGCAGAAGTTTTTTAAATTTTGCAAACCATTTCTGGAGAATCTGTAGGGAATTTTATATTAATTAACTAGTTATTTATCATTTTAGCCTTTACAATAACTTCTTTCCAAATACCTCATCAGAATGCAAACGAGTACCCAGTATTTAAACTGAGGTTTTTAGATTTTAAAACAGAATGCATTCTGGCATTGCTTGCACACTACATGTTAGTTTCCTACCAGCTCTGATAGTTGCAATAATTCGGCTTCCTGTTTTCTTGCTACCAACATTTTAGTTATGATGGTCTGTGAGTTAGTGAGCCAGCTTCTTGCAGTATTTAACTGTTTAACCTTGTTCAGTGCTTAATTTGATTTGCACTGTTCTATTTTATGTTGCATAACAAGTTGTGGAAATTATAGCACAAGAGAGTGCCCTTACATTCTAAATTCTATTTAAACAGAAAGGCTATTTTAATCTTCTCAAGTCTTTATCATTATTAATTTGCTTCATGTTTGTTAGGGCTATTAGGCTAAAATAACATTAGCAGATCAAATGTAGCCTTATAAGGGGTACTTAAAACAAATTACAGATTGTATCGCAAGACAAATTAACATTTATTCTGTCCCTTGCAAACTGCATGCTCTATTGGCACCAAGAAGTCCAGTGGAAGGATTTGGGTACACAAATAGACACTAAATGAACTTTAATGAAATCAGCCATTACATTCAGTGGTAGAAGTTTGTGAAATTTTTTGAACAGTTGGAGATGCACTTTCTACTACACTCAGTTGCAGAAGGTCATGACAGCAATTGCCATGCTTCAAGCACAGAGCTGGTACAAAAGCATCAGTAAATTTTTCTTGGGTGAACCAGACAGCAATAATTATTTGTTTGAAGTATTTAAAAATTGACTAACCATTCCCATTAAAAGATGGGGCGAAATTAAAAGCAGAAGTGATCAGTAAATACCAAAATAAGGGTGAAAGGTTGACCAAGTTTATATTAAGGAAAATACAAGCAGTGAATTTATTTTTTTTAATTAATTTTGAATTTACTGTATAGGAGAAAACCTGATGCACAGGTTATCCGAATAATATTGCCTAGGTAGTGGGTTCAAATCTAGAATTTTGTTGAATTATGAAACCCAAGTAAGCTAGAACAGTTATTTGAGCTAGTGATGAAGTTCGAAAGTAAGGAAGTATCAATGAGTACACACACAATGGGAGATAGGCAGAGGTCAAGCTGATATTTTTGTAAATCTGTAGCAGAAGGTAGTCCAAGGCTTGACTGCAGTAGACGATTTTTAAAACCAAAAGAAATTTTCACTCGCTAATGGCAATTGGCAAAATAAATCGCAAAAGACGAAACTGAGGGAAGATACTAAACATTTAAAGTAGTCAAAAATATTGAAATACAAAGGGCACAGTCACCCCGGAGAGAAAGAGAGAGAGGAGATTAAAAAATAAATAAATAAATAAATAAATAAATAAAATAATTTTTTAAAAAAACTTACAGGTGTAATTAAATACAGTGTTGATAAAAAATTTGTTTTACCAAGGAACCAAATTATGTTAAATAATATACCAGCAGATGCATTATTGGACACAGGGGTGCAAGGTAGTTTTATGATTTAGGAAAAGCTTTAAACTTTGTAGAGTGTTTGGTGTTGATGGAATGAGGGTGATTGCCACCCAAGGCAAACAAAGTGAATATGTAGGGAAAGCAACCTTACATGGGCATATGAAAAATGAATACCAGAAGGTGGTTTTCTACATAGTCAAAAATCTACAAAAGTAATATTTGGGTTGGATTTATTAAAGGCTGTGGGAGCTAAAATTAATTTTCAAGAAGCTACTGTGACATTTGAAATTAATGAGCTGGTGAAAAAAGAAGTACAACCAATGACTTAAAGGAATAGAACATGGATAAGAAAACAAAGCTGGAACAGTTGGTAAGAAAATTTTCAGATTTATTTGATGAGGATTTAGGGTTGATCTAGGTGGAAAATCAAGCAACAGAAATTGACAATTACCTCCGCACCCCCAATCGAGCAAAACCCTACTGCTATGACATCAAGGAAGAAATAATAGAACAACATATTGCAGAAATGCTAAGGAATAAAATTATAATCCCCATAAGTATTGTGCCAAAAGAAAAATAATCTTCCGCCTATGGATTTTAAAACATGGAGTTTTGCTATTGACTATAGAAAACTTAATAGCATAATAAAATATCCAGTTTACCCATTATTGATAATACAGAAAATAATTAGGAAAATAAAATTCACAAAATACACGTTGATGTTAAATCTCACCTTTGGATACTTTTAGATATGTATGAAACCAGAGGATTTATCCAAATTAGGAGTTTATTCTTTTCTTGAAATGACATGGCATTTCGCATGCGGAGCATTTCCCTCATTTCAAAGAGTTTATTCTGAGACCTGGTCCTCGGAAATTCAACAGCTATTTACTTAGATGATATAATAGTTATTAGCGAAGCAATTAATGAACATATTTTGGATTTTCACTTCTAAAAGAAACAGGTTCAAAGATGAATAAGGGCAAAGAACTTTGTCACCTGGGAAACAAGATACCTCAAAGGGGAATTGAAATGGAAGATTCTAAATCACAGCAATAAAAAATATGCACCATATAATACAGAAAAAAGTTTGGGCTTGTACCCCTATTATACGATTTTCTTCAAAGATTTTGCTCATATATCACAGGCATTATTAAAGTCCTATTCAACTGGTCAGCAGAAGAAAACATGGCATTGGAAGACTTAAGAAGTGGCATTAATTCAAGCTTCATAAAATTTCCTGAAACGGATAGCAAATTAGAAATCTCCACAGATGTATTGGATTTTGCAGTGCGAGTCATGCTGTAGAAACTGTATTGTACCAGATGGCGCTGTGTGCGCTTAAATTCTTCGGACTAGTTTAGAACCTTGATGATTGCGAAAGATGTAAGACCAATGCGAAACATTAACCAAAGTTTATATGTGCCTCTCTTTGTTGTAAATGTATTTAATTGTGTCGTCAATAAAATATAGAAAAAATGATAAAAGTGGAGAATGCGTCTGACAGGTAAGTGAGATTTCTTTATATATTGAATTGAATTGAGTTTTAGCGACAAAGAATGTAAATGCGTATTTACACATGCTTATGCAAGACGGACAGCCAGTAGCATATTTTAGCAATATACTCTGCACATTTTCACACACACTTGCACTCATTACAATATTAGAGAGCAGGGGTGAGAAACTGAGGAAACAAAATGCTAAATGAAGTTGCAAATGGCAAGTTAAAAAGTATGAAATATGGGGTTGTTAAAATATTTTTTCTTCTAGATGTCTGGCTGGAGATAAGATTGCACTAAATTGAGACAAAGTTTTATACAATGAAACTGAAACTTCTGTAAAACCTAGTTTTAGACATTTATTTTTATGATTGTAAAAGTTGGCTCATGTTGTAGATTCAGAATAACATAAATATAAAGATAATTACTTAAAAATTTAATTAGAATAATCAACAATATTTTAGCAAATATAGTTATATATGGTATCCTAGATGATTGATTACTATTTTTTTATTTTACTGCAAAATGACAAAGTATTTATTAAAAAAAAAAAAAAAAAAAAAAAAAAAAAAAAAAAAAAAAAAAAAGAAAAGAGATTTTGCTGTAAAATCCTAGTATACGGTACGGCCTTCGCACGATTTTGAAAACTGTCGCCAAGAACAAAATGACCCGTTTACTGCTCATCATCATGTCGCCAAATCCCACTGTACCATACATGGAGATTATTCTGACCAAAGAATGTCTATGTAAAAAGCGGAGGGAAAATTTGCCAAGGGATTTGACGACGGAACGGCCAAAATTTCCCTCTCTGCGCACAGGATATTGAGAAACACGTGTTAAGAAGAAACGTTCTTTGACAAAAAAGAAAACTACAAAAATCCGTTTTTAAATTATTGCGAAAAATCCAAGAAGAAACGTTTTATCAAAGAACGTTTTTTCTTGGATTCCCCCTTCCCCCGTCAAAATAACTAATCCATGAATTAATTTACTTGCGCCAAAAAATATTTTCTTTTCCTTTAAAGACATTTTAAACGATATTCATTTTATGAACTCTTGATAACGTGACCTTCGAACTTCGACACCGGTTTCGATAGACAGATACATCGCGCATGCACAGGTGTTTCTCGCTATGATGGAACCGAGCCACGTCTATTGCAGAGAGGTTTTGCTTCTTTACAATACATATTTTTTTAATTCTAACCTTCATGGTACCGTATACTAGGATTACACCCATTTTGTTTTATACGAGAACAGGTACTTTCTTTAGTTCATACACTGCGCATGCGATTCTCGAGGTTACTGGAAACCAAAAGTTGCGGGGAAACTTGCTTTGCCTTTCTAAAAAGACAATCAAACAGGGTTGCCACTCAAACAGGAGAATGAAATTCCCTGACTTTTCCAGGTGTGTTTCAAGAAAATTCCAGTCTATCCGCGTAATGGACGTTGGCTGTGCTAAGAGGTAAATTAATTATGGTATTACTTGTATTGTGTAGCAAATTCACTTAATTATTCAATAAATCCCAGAGGACATTTATTCTTAATTATTCTTGGTATACTTTGTTTGATAATTTTGTTTAGTTTTCCACTTAAGAAACTTAATAAAATTTAAGATATATACATTGGATAACAAATGTATGTTTTATTTAATTATTACTCATGATCATCACCAGTTCAACACGAGGGTAATCCGGTCCTTATAAATCACAACGCAATGCTAAATAGTTAGGTTAGATTTTAGGTAAATTTAATTTGCGTGAGGTATGTTCTTAAAAGGCATCTTAACACTTGAAAACACAAATATAATTATAATAGTTGTTGTTTTCTCCACTGAAGATTGAGATTAGAATCTT